TTTTGTTCAACTGCTCAATTGCAGTGCCAGATGTCCCTTTTATGCCAATGTAGCAGTTGAAGACATCTGTGAAAGATAACCAGCCAAGCAGTGTGTGTCCAAATTTAGTATGCCAAGCAGTTGCAGGACTTTCATCTGCTGAACAAACAGACCCCGCGGTTTAAGGACGCTCACATCAGAGTAAGGCATTTAAGCGCTTTGTAAAAAAATTTGTATTGCCTGAAAGCTTTGTATTTGCTACCCACCTGTGCATTACTCAGCGAATTGTTTTTCCTTGAAGAGCCATTCTGCAGAAATAAGGATTCATGCTGTCATAAGCTTGCATCTGTGAGCAATTCTTTTAAAAGGGGCACGGATTAGGGTCATTACAGCTGCCAGTGTGTGTGGGAAAAGTCTGCCCAAATGCCTGCAAAACTGGTCATTACAAAGACTTGCAAAAACATTAGAGGTCTCCCATTTATGATTAGGAAAACATATTCTACTCTGATATTAATGCAGTAAAAAAGGCAATAAAATAAGAATGACAATGGAAAGGTAGCAACATTTTGAGGTTACATGCTGACCCAGAAGGTGAGGATAAGATGGGGTGTCTCCAGGGGCGGACTGACAACTTTCAGCGTTACCTATAATGCTACCACCTCCCCCTCACTCCCCCTCTCTGTTGGGGTCCCTCAAGGCTCTGTCCTCGGGCCCCTTCTCTTCTCCATCTTCACCTCCTCCCTTGGACAACTTATACACTCTCACGGCTTCAACTACCACCTCTATGCCGACGACACACAACTCTATCTCTCAACCCCCCACCTCACCCCCTCGGTCTCCGCCCGAATCACACACCTACTGAGCGACATATCAGATTGGATGTCGCTCCACTTCCTTAAACTGAACCTCTCCAAGACCGAGTTTCTTGTCTTCCCCCCAGCCCGGACACCACCCCCCATTGACTTCTCTATCACATCCAACAACGCCACCATCAAACCCGCCCCGCAGGTCAGAGTACTTGGTGTCATTCTGGACTCCAACCTATCCTTCCAGCCCCAAGTCCAATCTTTAACAAACTCATGCAGACTCCACCTCCGCAATATCACCAAAATCCGCACGTTCCTAACCCCAGAAACCACTAAACAGCTCATCCACTCCCTCATCATATCTCGACTCGATTACTGCAACTCCCTCCTCACTGGCCTGCCTCGCCGCTGGCTATCCCCGCTTCAGTCCATCCTGAATACGGCTGCCAGACTCATTCACCTTTCCAACCGCTCCGTCTCCGCTACCCCCCCTCTGCCAATCCCTCCACTGGCCCCCATTCAGTGTCCTCCACCCCCCTCTGCCAATCCCTCCACTGGCTTCAGATTGCGCAATGGATCAAATTCAAAATCCTAACACTGACGTACAAAGCTGTCCACCATTCTGCCCCGAACTACATCACTGACCTAATATCCAAATACCGCCCAGCACGCACACTCCGCTCCTCACAAGACCTCCTTCTCTTTAGTTCCCTGGTCTCCTCCTCCCATGCCCGCCTCCAGGACTTCTCCAGGGTGTCACCCATCCTCTGGAACTCCCTGCCCCAACCCATCAGATTCCTCCTCTCCTTTAGGCGCACCCTGAAAACCCATCTCTTCAGGGAAGCCTACCCCACCCCCTGCTAACCTGCCGACCTCCTCCACTCTTCCTACCACTCCATCCCCCAGCTTTCTCCTCCTGTGCCACCATCCCCCCCTCCCTCCTAGATTGTAAGCTCGAAAGAGCAGGGCCCTCGATCCCCCCATGTTTTGCATTCTATTGGTATTGTTTTGTCACATGTTCTGTCCCCCTTTGTAATGTACAGCACTGAACGAACCATTGGCGCTTTATAAATACTGTATAATAATAATAATAATAATGGGGCCCCCGGGCAATAGGGGATCATGGGGCCCCTGTGTCCTTGCCCAAACTCAAAAAAGCCTATGAAAAAAAGTACCAGGGGCATCTCATGGGGCCCCCTACTGACCCTGGGCCTTCGGGCAGTTTCCAAATTGTCAGTCCGCCCCTGGGTGTCTCATTGCAATACACCCATATGCAAACTAAGAGAGACTCCATAGGGAGAAAAGCACTTAATGAGGACAAGGCTGGGTTCACACCTAATCACTAAGGTCTATGACGTCACAGCATGTGCATTTTTTTTCACGTTGATGTGTTCTGTGTATGGCAAGCCATAGAAGAGTCAAAAAACAAAAGAAAATTCTTGGTTGTTCATTTTTTGCATCATTAGTGTGCCAGGTCCGACAACGGGATTTTTGAGTTGCGATCAAAAGTGCCTGCCTGATCCCACATGCTAGATTTTGTTTAAAAAAAAACTAAACAAATGATGGCAACATCATATGCGCCATTTTTGTTTTTTTTTTTTTGATCAACAAAACGATCAGTTTACGACTCATCTATGGGTGACCTAAGGCAACCTATTTAAAATTAATGGGCTGGCAATACACCAGGCAGCAATTCAGAAACCCATATTGGTTTTAATCCTTACCGACCTCCAAAGCTAGAAAAATGTTTCAGCTTGAATTCCATTTCAGCTGTTTGTGCATTATACAGAAGAAAGACTGTGGGGGGGGAGAGGAAGGAAGAAAGAAGACGGAAGGAAGTAGGAGGGAAGAAGGAAAAGGAAGGGAGAGGGAGGAAGGAAGAGGAAAAGGACAGAAGGACGAGGACAAGGGAAAAAGAGGATGGAAGGGGGAGAGGGAGCAGGGGTGAAGAAAGGAGAAAATAAAGAGGGAGACAAAAGGAGGGAGAGGGAACATAGGAGAGGAAAGGAAAGGGGAAAGGAAAGGATCCCCCATATTCTATAGGAAAGAAAGAAGAGGGAGGGAGGAAGAACGAGAGGAAAGAATAAAGGACAGAAGGACGAGGGAACAAGGGTAAAAGAGAATGGAAGGGGGAGAGGGAGCAGGGAGAAAGGGGAAAAATAAAGAGGGAGATAAAGGAGGGAGAGGGAAGAAAGGAAAGGAGAGGAGAGGAGAGGAGAGGAGAGGAAAAAGGAAAGGAAAGGGAAGGAATCCCTCATATTCTCTAGGAAAGAAAGAAGAGGGAGTGGGAGGAAAGAAGAGGGAGGAAGGAAGAAGGTGAGGAAAGACAGGGAGAAAGGCTGAGGCAAAAAGTAAATTAAAGAGGGAGACAAAAGGAGTGAGAGGGAAAGGAAAGGGAAGAAAACAAGGGAATAACGAACAAAAGAAAGAAAGAAGGAAGGAAGAAAGGAAGGAGTGACGTATATTCTCTAGGAAAGAAGGAAGAGGGAGGAGAAAGGGTGAGGTCGTGGAAGAGGGAGCAAAGAATAGGAGGATTAAGAAGGAGAGGAAGGAAGGGAAGAGGGAGAGGGAGGAAGGGATGAGAGAAAAAAAGAAAGACAGGGAGGAAGGAAGGAAGAGGAAGAAGCAATAAGAAAGTAGGAAATGGAAAAGAAAGGGATGGAAGAAGAATGGAGGAAGAAGAATGGATTCCTTATATTCTCTAGTGAAGAAGGAATATGGAGAAAAAATAAAAGAAGAAATAGAGGGAAAGGACATGGTGAGAAAGAGGGAGGAAAGAAGAGGGAGAGCGACAGAGAAAAAAAAAAAAAAAGGAAGGGAGGAAAGAAGGAAGGAAGGAAGGAACAATTCCTCATATTCTCTATCACAATACATCAACTTTAACATTTTTTAAAATGGCAAAGAATACAATAAAATCCACCCATATTTCCTTGAATATCTTCTATAAAAAATTCCATTATAAGGATCATGTTTTGTGAAATCCATTAGGAGGAAGTTCTGCTCATTTTTCTTTTAGGTCAGGGCTCTCCTCCACCTCATTGATTCCTGGGGTCAAACATACAGTCAATAATGTACAGTCGAGTTCTCCACCGAGGGTTCCCACCTCTGAGACCTCATCTATGCTAACTGTTCAACAAACATTGATTGTGCTGGGCTCCACCGTACAACGCCAACTGTCATGTGACTTAGAACTCATTTGTTTCATGATATGTCATCTAGTACAGAAACAGACAGAAAATCCAATTTGCGCTCATGGTTGCTGTGCAAATGACACGGCATGAGAGTGAAAAAGATTGCTACAGAAAGAGCCTTTATTTTAACCGCAGTCAATCTTGCTCTGAGATGTTGGATCGGCAAAACGCTCATTACCTGGCATGAAACCCTACAGAAAATTCCATTTCCTAACCTGACTCTTTCAGCTTTATTTAATATTAGACAATAGCGATGCTCAGAGGCAGACATGATGATTCTAAGCTGGAATCCAGATTTCAAAGAGTCTGTCTGCCCAAAATGTACACTTCATTTATAAGCAGAATATTTTGGGCTGTGTTACCCACTATCTTCTAAACCATTTTTTTCAACCTTTTCAACATGTGGGTACCCTTGAAATAACATTCTGGTCCCAAGGAATACTTTCTAATATTAATTACTATATCTACAGTTCACTTATTAGTAATGTGATGGCCATGGGGAAGAATGCTCCCTACATTGGTGGTCAGCAGTATGAAAGTTCCTTACATTGGTGGTCAGCGGGAAGAATGCTCCTTACATTGGAGATCAGTGGGAAGAACGTTCCTTACATTGGAGGTCAGTGGGAAGAATGTCCCTTACATTGGTGATCAGTGGGAAGAATGTCCCTTACATTGGTGATCAGTGAGAAGAATGCTTCTTACATTAGTGGTCAATGGGAAAAATTATCCTTACATTGGTGATAAGTGGGAAGAATGCTCCTTACATTGGTGGTCAGTGAGAAGAATGGTCCTTACATTGGTCCCTTACATTGGTGATCAGTGGGAAGAATGTGATCCTTACATTGGTGATCAGTGGGAAGAATGCTCCTTGCATTGGTGATCAGTGGGAAGAATGCTCCCCTTACATTGGTGATCAGTGGTCGTCAACGGTAAGAAAGTTGCTCAGGTGGTCAAGAAAGAATGCTCCTTACATTGGAATGATCAGTGGGAAGAATGCTCCTTACATTGGTGAACAGTGGGAAGAATGTCCCTTACATTGGTGATCAGTGGGAAGAATGCTCCTTACATTGGTGGTCAGTGAGAAGAATGTTCCTTACATTGATGGTCAGTGGAAAGAATGTTCCTTACATTGGTGATCAGTGGGAAGAATGTTCCTTACATTGGTGATCAGTGGGAAGAATGCTCCTTACATTGGTGGTCAATGGGAAAAATTATCCTTACATTGGTGGTCAGTGGGAAGAATGCTCCTTACATTGGTGGTCAGTGAGAAGAATGGTCCTTACATTGGTGGTCAGTGGGAAGAATGTTCCTTACATTGGTGATCAGTGGGAAGAATGCTCCTTACATTGGTGGTCAGTGGGAAGAATGCCCCTTACATTGGGGGTCAGTGGGAAGAATGCTCCTTACATTGGTGGTCAGTGGGAAGAATTCTCCTTACATTAGAGATCAGCGAGAAACTTGGTCGTCAACGGTAAGAAAGTTGCTTACATTGGTGGTCAATGGGAAGCATGCTCCTTATATTGGTGGTCAAGGGGAAGAATGCTCCTTACATTGGGAATCAGTGAGAAGAATGCTCCTTAAATTGGAGATCAGTGGGAAGAATGCTCCTTACATTGGTGAACAGTGGGAAGAATGTCCCTTACATTGGTGATCAGTGGGAAGAATGCTCCTTACATTGGTGGTCAGTGAGAAGAATGTTCCTTACATTGATGGTCAGTGGAAAGAATGTTCCTTACATTGGTGATCAGTGGGAAGAATGTTCCTTACATTGGTGGTCAGTGAGAAGAATGTTCCTTACATTGGTGATCAGTGGGAAGAATGCTCCTTACATTGGTGGTCAGTGAGAAGAATGTTCCTTACATTGGTGATCAGTGGAAAGAATGCCCCTTACATTGGGGGTCAGTGGGAAGAATGTTCCTTACATTGGTGATCAGTGGGAAGAATGCTCCTTACATTGGTGGTCAGTGGGAAGAATGCCCCTTACATTGGGGGTCAGTGGGAAGAATGCTCCTTACATTGGTGGTCAGTGGGAAGAATTCTCCTTACATTAGAGATCAGCGAGAAACTTGGTCGTCAACGGTAAGAAAGTTGCTTACATTGGTGGTCAATGGGAAGAATGCTCCTTACATTGGTGATCAGTGGGGGGAAGAATGCTCCTTACATTGGGAATCAGTGAGAAGAATGCTCCTTAAATTGGAGATCAGTGGGAAGAATGCTCCTTACATTGGTGGTCAGTGGAAAGAATGCCCCTTACATTGGGGGTCAGTGGGAAGAATGTTCCTTACATTGGTGATCAGTGGGAAGAATGCTCCTTACATTGGTGGTCAGTGGGAAGAATGCCCCTTACATTGGGGGTCAGTGGGAAGAATGCTCCTTACATTGGTGGTCAGTGAGAAGAATGTTCCTTACATTGGTGATCAGTGTAAAGAATGCCCCTTACATTGGGGGTCAGTGGGAAGAATGCCCTTACATTGGTGATCAGTGGGAAGAATGCTCCTTACATTGGTGGTCAGTGGGAAGAATGCCCCTTACATTGGGGGTCAGTGGGAAGAATGTTCCTTACATTGGTGGTCAGTGGGAAGAATTCTCCTTACATTAGAGATCAGCGAGAAACTTGGTCGTCAACGGTAAGAAAGTTGCTTACATTGGTGGTCAATGGGAAGAATGCTCCTTACATTGGTGATCAGTGGGGGGAAGAATGCTCCTTACATTGGGAATCAGTGAGAAGAATGCTCCTTAAATTGGAGATCAGTGGGAAGAATGCTCCTTACATTGGTGGTCAGAATGTACCTTATTTGGTGGTTAGTGGGAAGAATGCTTCTTACATTGGAGGTCATGGGGAAGAATCCTCCTTACATTGGTGGTCAATGAGTACATATGTGAGAGAGAGAAGTTACTCCTTGGAACCTATAGTAACCTCTGGAGGCACCCTAAGGTTCAATTACACACTGTTTAAGACAAGCTGATCCGCACACTCTTGCACGATCCAGTGGTAAGATCTCCTTGTCTTGCTCCTAGCCCTTTGAGGTCCACCTTTGCATTTTAGATGTTCCTTCTCACCTTGGAGAATACCCACTAACTAATATAAGATATAAGAAAAAAAAAACAAAAAAACAGAGAGATTGAAACCATCACATAAAGAAGTCCCCGGGAGATTTATGAAATGGATAGGTGTTTCTTTAACTGCTACCAAAAATTTAAATGTTGGTTTTGGCGGAGCCGCGCAGGGCAAAGTAAAAGGTTCATATAAAGGTTCCTCCAGGATCTTATACTCACCTACCCAGAGTTTGCCGCTGGGATTGAAGACAAGAAAATTAGTGAGTTGAACCTAGTCAGGGCTTACCCAGGGCAGAGAATTATCTTCCCCATATGACATTGCCGGGTACATGAACACCAAGGCTGTCACAGTAGGGGAGTGAGTCCCATGATACACCATACATGCAAGAAGGGTCTCAGCCATTAAGATGATGACTCCATGCTCATAATACTCCCTCAGACTGAGGGAATCTCCTGAGAGCCAGGCAGAAATAGGCAACACGTGAATGTGCTTTCCCCACCACACAACATGTGGTGCAGATGTTAGCTGTGCAAACTGCCAATCAGTTGGATGATTACACACAGACTGGTTTCTGGAGCAAATTGCACAGCACATGCAATTTGTGCATATACACAGGCAAAGGGATTCTAGGAATATGTTCTTTCATATAATGCTCAGGTTCACAGCAGAGCACAGCTTTCTTCTGGGGAAAAGCTGGAGCATGAGCAGCGAGAGTGGCAACACCAGGGGCAGACTGACCATTTGGAAACTCGGGCACTGCCCGAGGGCCCGGGGTCAGTAGGGGGCCCCATAAGATGCCCCTGGTACCTTTTGCATAGGCTTTTGTGAGTTTGGGAAAGGACACAGGGGCCCCATGATCCCCTATTGGCCGGGGGCCCCATGAGTTCTCAGTCCGCCCCTGGGCAACACTGAAGGTGGAGGATTGACTGAAATAGTGTTGCCACTCGGAATAAGGAGATCATAGGGAATTGACAGGTTCTTCTAAGTATTCACATAGACATTGAGATGGTAAAGTTGAAAAAGACACCAGTTCACCTAGTTCAACCTGAGAGTGTGTGTACAAGGTGGTATTAAAAAGCTTAGAGAATAGTTTTGTAACATGCCAAAAGATGGCAGCACATAGCTGCATGCACAGTCACAGGGATCACTGACCTTCATAAGTCAGTGTTCCAAAAGATATCGTCCAGTGTACATCTGGAGCTGTGCAACTGGTGTTATGGTGACCACGTGCGTTACCGCGTCTGCTTTTTCATCATGGATGGACAGCAAGTTAGAACATAGAGCAAACATAAAATTCTGCGTGAAACCCATACACCCACGTTTCCTCACTGGTAATGATCCTCGAAATGTAAGGTGATCATCCACAGCATGCTGATGAAGTTCTTGGCAGACCTTAACGTGGTGTTCCTTCTGCTCATGGGTCAGCAGCCTGGGGATGAAATTGGCAGCAACATGGCGCATGTTCAAACCACATGTAAGGATTGCCTGGACTGTTCTGTATAACACACCGACAATGACAGCAATGTTGTGGATTGTTCTACAATCATCATGCACAAGTTTATAAATGGTTTCAACCAGGGGTGGACTGACAACTCATGGGGTCCCCGGGCAATAGGGGATCATGGGGCCCCTGTGTCCTTGCCCAAACTCAAAAAAGCCTATGAAAAAGGTACCAGGGGCATCTCATGGGGCCCCCTACCGACCCCGGGGCCCTCGGGCAGTGCCCGAGTTTCCAAATGGTCAGTCCGCCCCTGGTTTCAACATTTTTTAGGTTGAGCTCGTTGAAGGTCTTCCTGACTTTTTGTTGTCTTCCAGTAAAGTTCTTCAGCTCTTGAAGCACGCGTACCACTCAAAACACCTCGAACGACTTATTGCAGCATCGCCGTAAACTTGCCAAATCACGTCAAACATCTCTGTGGCAGATTTTACCAGTTTCACGCCGAATTTCACATTTGCTAACTTCTAACTTTCTGTCCATGATGACATAACAGATGTGGTAATAAATTGATCAGAATAGCACCAGTTGCACAGCTCCTGATGTACACAGGATCATGTCTTTTTGCACACCAACCAGGGGCGGACTGACCATTTGGAAACTCGGGCACTGCCCGAGGGCCCGGGGTCAGTAGGGGGCCCCATGAGATGCCCCTGGTACCTTTTTCATAGGCGTTTTTGAGTTTGGGCAAGGACAAAGGGGCCCCATGATCCCCTATTTCCCGGGGGCCCCATGAGTTGTCAGTCTGCCCCTTGTACCTTTTTATAGGCTTTTTTGGGTGTGCTTTGAGTATGGGCAAGGACACAGGGGCCCCATGATCCCCTATTGCCCATGAGTTGTCAGTCCGCCACTGACACCAACTTATGAAGGTTGGTGTTCCCTGTGACTGTGCATGCTGTCATCTGTTGGCATGGTACGAAACTAGTCTCAAAACTTTTTTATACCACCTCTTATGTATTAGTGTGTGTGTGTTTATGTCACTAGACTTTTTGCTTTTTCTATCCATTGCACTCACTAAGAAACACCTCTAAAAGTTTTGGGAATTTATCTACACTCCTCTCTGACACCACCAACTGTGGAAGGGAGTTCCACATCTTTACTGCTTAGTAAATAACCCCTTTTGCAGTTTAAGATTGAACAGCTTTTTATCCAACTTCATTGTGTGGCTGTGTGTTTTCTTTAGAGATCTTAGATTAAATGGTTTCCTCCCAATGCTAGAGTCCCTATTTAAAGATTTGTATATTATGATCATATACTCTCTAAGGGCCAGTTCCCACTACATGCGTTTCAGTTGCTTTTTTTCTGCATCCAAAATGCACAGAAAGTAGGTGCTATAGTTGTCAATGTCATAGTTCACATCAGTGTTTGCAGTTCCAGTGCTTTCCGGTTGCAGAAAAAAAAGTACAACATGCTGCATTTTTTCTGTAAAGAACTGTACTGGAACACGGTAAAACACATAAAAAAGGCACCGGAACGCACAAGTCCCTATTTAAATTGAGGAGAAAGAGAGGGGAAAATGAACTGGAATGCATAAAAAACGCACTGGAACACTGGAACATAAAAAACGCATCAAAAAAGCACTGAAATGCTCTAAAAAATGCATACAAAAAAAGCATCTGGAAAGCATCTGGACTGCATTTCTGTAGTGTGAACCGGCCCTTAAGCTCCTCTTCTTCAGGTCCCCCTTATCAGTAGAGATGGGCTTCACACAAATGCGAAGAACTGTTTGCCCGCCGTGTCCCACAATGTACTGTGCCCTGACAGTGCATTGTGATTGGCCAGAGCAATGCACCTAACCACAGGTCAGGTGCAATGCTTTGGCCAATTATAGAGCATGATGATGTCACAAGGAGATGGAGGGACCCACCCCCCTGTGACATCATGACATTATTTAAGAACTGTCTTCATGGTGCAGCTGTCAGATGGCAGGAACCAGCGTTGAGAGCAGAGCGTTTTTTTTTTTCTGTGTCGTCGATGGGGGCGGACATCGTGATTGACGTTGGATCTACTTTGAGGGACATTTTTTTGTTTTTAATAAAGGACTTGTCAAAGACTGTCTTCTGCCATCTTTTACTATACTTTTATTTTGTGAATGGGTAGTGGTACCATGTACAGCATACTCATTCACATAGTGGGGGGCCAGATCTTGGGGCCCCCTTGTTAAAACCCCAGCCAGGGTTGTGGGGAAAAGGCTCTTGACCCCATCAACAATTCTTTTGACATTCAGCTGTCAGTGGGGAACCCCGCTGACAGCTTTTTTTATTATACAGGATTTATATAGCGCCAACAGTTTGCGCAGCACTTTACAAAATGAAGGTTGACATTACAGTTACAATATAATTTGGTACAAGAGGAAACAGAGGGCCCGGCTCGATAGAGCTTACAATCTAGGAGGAAGGGTTGAGTGATACAAAAGGTAATAGCTGTGGGCAGGGGCAGACTGACCATTGGAAACCCGGGCACTGCCCGAGGGCCCAGGGTCAGTAGGGGGCCCCATGAGATGCCCCTGGTACCTTTTTCATAGGATTTTTTTAGTTTGGGCAAGGACACAGGGGCCCCATGATCCCTTATTGCCCGGGGGCCCCATGAGTTGTCAGTCCACCCCTGGCTGTGGGGGGATGAGCTGAAGGAGGAAATAAATGGTGGTTTACTAGGTAGAAGCAGGATAGGCTTATTTAAAGAGAAAGGTTTTCATGGATCATCTAAGGGTGGATAGATTAGGAGACAGCCAGACAGATTGGAGTAGGGAGTTCCATAGGATGGGAGAAACTCGGAGAGAGTCCTGGAGGCGAGCATGGGAGGAGGTGACACGGGAACTAGAGAGCAGAAGGTCTTGGAGAATGGAAAAGAGTGGATTGGTTGATATTTTGAGACCAAGTTGGTGATGTAGCTGGGGGTAGAGCTGTGGATGGCTTTGTAAGT